GGTATTTGAAATAGACATTTAGTCTCTCTTAATGAGTATTTTATGTGTGGTTTCTGTACTCATATAGACTGAAATTACAAGTGCGTGGCAGGAAATGTCTCGAGTCAATATTTTCTGTTAGTGGTTTGAAGAAATAACTTTCAGTGATACAGTCTTAATTATTGAAGTAAAATCAGTGAGAACAGGTATGGAGAACAACTTCTTAGTAATTTATGTAAATAGATTTAGGAACTCTGGAATAAATTTAGACACTTAGGAATTTCCAAAATATAGCACTTGAAATCTGTGTTACCTTAAGATGCTGTTTTGAAACACCCTTCCAAGTAATGCATAAATATATTTCAGTGAGAGTTTGGGGGCAGCAGGGGAATGACACCTCATACTTCTGCAGATAATTAGACTAGGCTTCATTATCTGACTGTAGTGAAAACCTGGTGCTTGTCATGCCCCAGGAATGCAGAAACTTTTTTCACTTTCACAGTATTTTTAGTTATTTTCTTAATATATATAATTATGTTAAAAATACAATAAATTGAAGTCATAAATGTGTAAGTCTTACTGTGATTCAGTGTGAGAATAAAGATTAGCTATCTATTAGAAATATATAGACTTTTCAGGAATAATGCAGCTGTGGGTTCAAAATAACCAAGTTCAGTGCTCACTGTTTCACTTTATGGAAATTAATGAGGAGATTAACTTTATTTTGGAAAAGTCTTAAGTGATGTGAAACAGCATTGATTAATAGTTCGAAGCCATTTTTGTGGCATTTTTTTTAAAGACAGTTCTTTATTCAACCATGAGTTGTGTTTTGCTGTGTTTCCAGTATCATGTTTTCTGTCCCAGCTCTTTAAGAGTTAATGCTGTTTTATTTCTACAGTAGCAGCATTGTTTATAGTATGTGTCTTGGGAAATGAGTGCACCTAACCTAAAAGTGTGAAAAAGATAAGAAATTAATAAAGACCATAAAAAATATAAATAATCAACCTTTTTGTTGGTGTGCTTTTGCCAACACTGCATTGAGATAGCTGCAAAATTATTGTCCATCGAAACCATTTTGTACCATCAAACTGAAACTACTCTGAAGTGTTGAATATTCAAACTAGGTTTGCACAAACTGATTTTTTTAAAAACTTTCATCATTTTTCATTATGGCTACCATAATAACAAATAATATATGATCACATGACCTGCTCTTCAGATTTCTGAGAAGCAGCCTGTAAAGTTTTAGCTTAATTCTCTTCACTAATAGTTTCACATTTGTATGTGATTAATAGATGTTGCTCTTTTTCAAAATGAGGCACACAAATGTAGTTTTGATTGTTTTTATGAGCACAAAGGGGACCATGGTGTTTGCTGGGTGATAATGGGATAGTCTGGTAATCTGGTAGTTTTTGTCCAGAGGCCTGTGTTTTGTCAACCTGCATAATTTTACAGATTACAAGATGCAGAATTTGTGTTGAAAGTTCATAAGCCAGAATTTCATTCTGCCTCATTACGCTGTGTGTTAACATCTCATTCTCTTTGAGTCCCATTTTCAATCTGTATATTCCAGGTATTTCTGCATACATAGCCACCAGGCTTTGGGAGTACGTTGGCGTAGTTCAGTCTGTTTATAGTTGCAAATACCTGCCAGAAGAATTTTTAGAGGTGTCTCTAGTTAGGCTGTCTGAATTCACTGTACAGCAGATGGCACTGGAAGAGCATATCAGTGGGAGACTTCAGTGATGCCATAATTAGTACAAAATACTAGCAAAGCTGTTGCAGTGCTGAGGGTTGTGAAAAAGTTGCATAGCTCATTTTGATGTATTCCAGGAAGAGGTGCATGCTGGGCTCTTCTCCTTCAGCCCTTCTAGATGGTGACGCTGTATCATATATTGTGCGTGCTGGGCTCTTCTGCTTCAGCCCTTCTAGATGGTGATGGTGTATCATATATTGAGGACTGTTTATACAGCACTTTTAAACACATTAATAAGCAATGCAGAATTACTGATATTCTTTAAGTATGTGCAAAAAAAGAAGAGTATCTGGATCAGTCATGCATTTTTCTTGATAAAGATATTGGCTACTAAGGCAGGCTGACACATGTAAAACACTTTTTTGCTCAATCAGGCTCAGTAGTCACTTTGAAAGTAAAAAAAAAAAATAAAAATTGACTTCTCTGTATTCTGCCATAGAGACTTCTCTGCTGAGATTATTTTTAGATATTGAATTTCCATTTGTAAAAACATTTTTGGTACAGAAAGACTAGTATTTGATAAAAGCCTGTTCTTTCAACTGACTTGTTTAGTCTTTTAGTTATGGAGAAGCTGAAGAAATGTTGTTCCTTCAGCCAAATTTTAGGTAACTAATTATTTTGAAGCACACCAATAAAAAAAAGTCAGTGAATTAGACAGTTTCGGGTTCTATATATCTTCTCTCTTCAATCAGCAATGTGATAATGTTCTTTTACTTTCTCCCTAGCTTAGAAGGCAGATTTTACTTTTTTTTCATGCTTACTTTTTTAGGGTTAGAAGTTGCAAACGGTATGATGTACTTACTTCCCACAAGTTTAGGGGGATGTATCTGGTAAAGTGGAATGTGTGGATGTTGGTCAGAAGCAGTTGGAGAACATTGTGGATTTCACAAATGGGGCTGGGAGGGTTCCCAGGCTTCTAGTACTACATACATAAAGGTGGAGTTATATTTATCAAATGAACAAACACTCTGAACTTGTCAGTTTGGAAGCAGTGTAGAATCCTGAAGTTATATTTTTCACTCATTTTGTAGGTTAATTTGGTTACATATGATGAAGAGTACTGTAAATTTGGAAGATGGCAAAATCCAAATGGCTTAGGAATAGAAGGTCAGAAAGGCATTTTGAGCTTACTTTTAATTGACACGTAGCTCTCCCTTTATCTGTATCTGTAGCTTTTTCTTAATTACTGTGCTTTGTCAGTTATTCCGATATGCCCAATTTCAGGCATATAAAACCCACTAAATGTATTGTACCTATGTTTATTTTTCAGTACTTCCCTATTTTCCAATTATTCCAAACATGTAGCTCATATTAAACATCAGTATTTTAAAACATGAATTTTTATGGTTCTGCATATATCTGTTGTAAGAAAAGGAAAATAAAAGTAGTGACTTAACCTTTGAAATTGCATATGCATATCTCAGTATCATCTTCAAAAAGTGTAAGTGGAATATGTTTTTTAAGATGCCAGGACTCCTGGTACCAAAGGAGTCGTGTTAAAATTGGAAAATAAGCAGTGAGCTTCTAATAAAATACTGGTCCTGTTTTTTAACATTTTAGTATTCATTTATAGCAAGAGTCGGTTGTTAGTAATTTGTTTAGAAAACAAGTTTTTTGAATGTGTTTGTTCTTTGCTGATGGCAAGTAAATCAGTTTGCAAACAGAAGAGAAACCTTTTAGTTTCTCCCCATTGAGAGAGAGGTCCAGACAGTGCTGTTTAGTTTGATAATTAAGAAAAGGAAATGGGAAAAGCTGAAGGTACTCTAAAGATGGAGTTGGAAGATGTCAGAGGTTATGGCAAAGGCAGAACAGGTCTTCGAGGTAGGGTGATGCAAATAGCATAGGAAATTTGAAGACAGGACTATGGTACAAATCCAAGTAAATCAAGCTTTAGTGCTTCTGCTGTTCATGAGAACAGTGTTCAGCTCCCCAGCAGCAGGGCTTTACTTAAAATTTTTCAAGGTATTTTGAAGTTCAGAATCCTTAGATGCCTTGCTTTGTCTTTTAGTTTGCTTTCAATATGATCCTTTAGCCTTTGTGTACTTGAGGACCACAAAAGTTGGTCTGGACAAAGTGCAATAGTTAATGGACTGCTGTTTGATTATAGTACTCATTCTTACCTGCTTTTATGTGATTATGTTATTTATGAAAATAATATTCTTTAGTTGCTAAAACTTAGTTAATTGCACAATTTTTCTCAGTTGCTTGTATTGTGGTACTGTGGGAGAAAAGTGGGAAGTGTGTACATAAGGGTTGTTTTACTTTCACCTCAGTCCCCCAAGCTTGGAAGATTTCTTGAAACATTCTTGGACTCCTTCAGCTTGCCATGCTTAACCTGGAGCCAGGCTTGCTGCTGCAGTTTGTGCTGCTAACATCACACATATTTGGATGTATGTGGAATAATGGCTACTACTAATGGTAGTGCCTACTTCTGTCGCAGCAGCAACTTCCCTCTCTTCTCTTTATCTTGTTCTTCCACTCTCTGCAGAGCTGCTTGGTTTGGAAGGTCTAACTAATAATTTTAAAAAGATGGAAGAAATCCCAAAAAACAACCCCCAAAACCAGAACCTCAAACAAGCTGAAAAGCCACATTTATAGAGGGAGTGTGTACATGACTCTGGAAGACGCCAGGTAGGAGCAGTTGACTGGGACTTGAGCAGATGTGTCTACACAGTCTTGGCAGAAGCATTGGAGAAGGAAAAGCTCTAATAGTACAAGGCAGGGAGAATATGTGATTTGACCTCCTCTATGCCTACAACAGAGTTTGGAAATCAGGAGAGGACTTCTGACTTGCTCTAAACAGACGTTACTTTGCTGTTAATGTCTCTATTTTTTCACTAGAGTTAGTTTTCCTATAATTACATAACTATTTGAATATTGATCAACTTTCCTGTGTAAAGGAAGTATGAGCTTGTAAGACTGTTTTTAGGACTAATCACATTTTAATCTGTATGTAGGAATCCTGTTGGATAGAGTATCTTCTGTAGTTTCATCTTCTGTAGCTATTTTTGTGGGGATTTTTTAGGAGCCTTCTGAAAGAGAGGGGTGTTTCTGTGCTTGAAAATGTTATATACACACATTAAATATATATGCCTATGAATGTGATGTAATGTGTGTGTATATTTAAAAAATGGCATGCTGAATGCGCAAAAAAGTTGTGGAAATCTTCAAGGCAGATGTAGCAGATTCATTTTTTGAGCCTGATTGGTTTCCAAGTCTGTTCTCTGTATTTACTTTTATTTGATGCCTGTTACTTAAGTGCTGCAGTTTCTGTTTTGTTTGGAAAGGGGGAAACCCTTATGGATAATTTTAAAACTATTTCTTTTGTGAAGTTAATTGTTTTTTATTTGTTTCCAGGAAATGGCTCTTGAAGTTAAATGAGGCTGGATAAAACACATAAATGAAGCAGAAGCTGCTCTGCATGCGTTAGGGCTATATCACCACAAGCACTGCTGATCAGCCAGACTTGGTAACTTGTCATAATGAAGAAAATTAGTCTCAAAACAATTCGCAAGTCCTTTAACTTAAATAAAAGTAAAGATGAAAGTGACTTTGTAGTGGCTCAGCAGCCATCGTTAAGTGAATTTGGAAAAGATGACTCCTTGTTTGGCAGCTGCTACGGTAAAGATTTGGCTAGCTGTGAAGTCAATAGTGAAGATGAAAAAGGAGGCAAAAATAGATCAAAAAGTGAAAGCTTAATGGGTACGTTAAAAAGGAGGCTTTCAGCAAAACAAAAACAGAAAGGTAAAGGCAGCACACCATCTGTAAGCTCTGCAGATGATGACACCTTTTCTTCCTCGTCTGCTCCAATAACCTTCAAAGATGTGCGAGCTCAAAGACCTCTGAGATCCACTTCCCTCCGTAATCACCATTACAGTCCAACTCCGTGGCCCCTTCGACCTACAAATTCAGAAGAGACTTGCATCAAAATGGAAGTGAAAGTCAAGGCCTTGGTCCATTCCTCTAATCCAAGCCCAGCACTGAATGGCGTTCGAAAGGACTTCCATGACTTGCAGTCAGACAACGTGTTCCAGGAGCAAAACAATGTGTTAAAAAATACGGAATCTCAGAACGGGGACTTGCATCTTCATATTGATGAACATGTGCCTGTAGTTATTGGATTAATGCCTCAGGACTACATTCAGTATACCGTGCCTTTAGATGAGGGAATGTATCCTTTGGAAGGATCACGTAGTTACTGTCTGGATAGTTCCTCACCCATGGAAGTTTCAACTGTTTCTTCTCAAGTGGGGGGAAATGCTTTCCATGAAGAAGAGAGCCAAGTGGATCAGGATGTAGTTGTTGCACCAGATATCTTTGTGGACCAGACAGTGAATGGTTTGTTGATTGGTACCACAGGAGTCATGTTGCAAAGCCCACGAATTAATCACAGCGATGTCCCTCCACTCTCACCTTTGCTACCTCCAATGCAGAATAATCAAATCCAAAGGAACTTCAATGGATTGAATGGCACAGATGTCCATGTGGCTGAAAGTATGCGCTGTCATTTGAATTTTGATCCTAACACTGCCCCTGGAGTTGCAAGAGTTTATGATTCTGTACAGAACAGTGGTCCTATGGTTGTGACAAGTCTCACAGAAGAACTGAAAAAACTCGCAAAACAAGGATGGTACTGGGGTCCCATTACACGCTGGGAGGCAGAGGGAAAATTAGCTAATGTGCCTGATGGCTCGTTTCTTGTTCGAGATAGTTCTGATGATCGTTATCTTTTAAGTTTGAGTTTTCGTTCTCATGGAAAAACCCTTCACACTAGAATTGAACACTCAAACGGTAGGTTTAGCTTTTATGAACAACCCGATGTGGAGGGACATACATCTATAGTTGACTTAATTGAACATTCAATCAGGGACTCTGAAAATGGAGCTTTCTGCTATTCAAGATCCCGACTGCCTGGATCAGCAACTTACCCAGTGAGACTAACAAATCCAGTATCTCGGTTTATGCAGGTGCGTTCTTTACAATACCTGTGTCGTTTTGTAATACGTCAGTATACCAGAATAGACCTGATTCAGAAACTGCCTTTGCCAAACAAAATGAAGGATTATTTACAGGAAAAGCACTACTGAAAGCTTATGGGAATCTTGCATCTTGCACTTTGGGAACAACAACAACAAAAAGAGATTGAATTACAGTTTACAGACTTTCATTGTTATCAAAATCTTTTGCTGCCATAAAAATATTTCATTTTTGTGTGTAAAAGAAAAGTAATGCATTTGGATTTATGTTTGGTTTGGGGTTTTTTGTATATTTTGGGGGGCTTTTTTTTTTTCTTTTTGGAAAGAATGATCTCAAGTTTATTTTTAGAAGTGTGAAATAGGTATCTTTCATCAATGTGCAGATTAATCACAATGTGAATGATCAAATTCTCCTTAATTTCCCCCAAGTCCTTTGCTGCTATCCACTGTGATTTTTATGCATTGAAAGCACATTTCATGTGTATTCAACCATAAGTAAAAGTCAAATGAGACTTGTTGAATGGAATTTTTTTTCCTTTAAAATAGCCTGTTTGAAAACAATGATCGTGGATAAAAACATATTGGTATTCTAAATTACAGAATTTACTTCTGTGTTAAAAATTATTTCCTTTTATCCTAATTATAAATTTCTGTAGAGATATGCCCTAATGTAGAACTTATAGACAGAGCTGTGTGATAAGAACATGGTTATGCAGCATATCTTTGGAAAAAGAACCACCCTTCTCCTAAGCCTTGTGTTGTTTGTACACTATTTAATG